AAATATTAGTGTCATAGTAAACGCAAATCAATCATAAATACATTTAATGCAGTCAGTCCTAAACCTGAATAAAGTATGAAGGGAAGTTAATTTATTGATTTAACAGTATACAGTTACTGTATAGCTACAAACACAGATTGTGATTAAATTTATTTTCGTTTCGTATGTAACTGTATAGTTGGTGGTGATATTTATGCAATCACAGTAGCCGAATAAAAATAGCCAGTTACAAAAATCACTAGTTTCGAAACAGGTGACGCCGATCAAGTTACTGGTTTCGTTACGTTTCTTGAAAATGACGTAATGACCCACGTCTAGCTAGAACTAATTGCCGCTAGATATTAGTACTTAATAGCGCCAAAGCGCCATAGGGCAATAGCGCCATGGCGACTTCTTACATAACACGCGCTATGTGTTATGAAGAAATAGCGCGCTATAATGTGGCGCTATGCGCTATATTAAGCAGTATTAAATCAGATAATGATAATCGTAGTATCAGTATCAGAGAAGCTATAGAATTTGTCTATAGGTTTCTCTGTCTACGTTTCTGTAATAGAGTACACCGCCTCCATTATCATCGTAGACAGAGAAACCTATAGACAAATTGACGCCTTCTTTCGCATTCGCACACGAAAAAGATAGATTTATGCATGTAGATATATGGATGTAAAGGAGGCGAAAGAGGTATGTCAGGATCGTGCCAAATGGAAGTCCGTATTCTCTGCCTACCCCTCTGGGTGACAGGCGTGAGTGTTTATGTATATTATGTATGAGAAAAAATTTATATTAGTTAAAATATCGATATCAGCTGCGCTTATTGTTGAGTTACAACCCTATAAAAGGCGGTCATTTTATGCGTCAGATTTTTGTAGGTAGTCACGCTAATTAGTATGTAAGTATGCCCAGTCCATATACTTCTAAGTCAGTCATTGAGACATACACATGGAGTTTAGAGAACAGGAGAATGATCGCCGTAGATAATGGTGTCCCAGAAATATGGACACCATAAGTGAGGCGCTGCAATCGCTAAGTTCGCTCAATAAAAGTCTTTTCATTCTATTTTTCTGATCAGATGCTAAACCACTTGCATATCCACGCACAATAAATTATTTCTTCATTTTTTAATGTTTCTTTTTGTCAAAAATTTAAAAATTACGGAGCATGTAAATTTTATCACCAATGCCGCGAAGAAAATTTGTACCTTATTCAACTAACTTCATCTACTTGTACTCATAAACAGCTAACTTCGCAGCCACTACTCACTGACGGCAACGCCGCTATAAATTCTACATTTTTTCAAGGACAGGTGGGCTATGCTTTAGTACGTAGCGAGCTCCTGTTCTCTAACTTCCATAGAGACATATTATGTGTGACATTTTCCGTCTATAAACCATAGAACTAGAACAAACATTGTATTTCTTATCTATGGTTAGTTATAATTTCGTAGACAGAGAAACCTATAGACATATTGACGCCTTCTTTCGCATTCGCACACGAAAAAGATAGATTTATGCATACGTCTTGCATAGAAATGAGACAGAGCAGTGTGATTGTTTGTTCCTTTCTCCGTGCCGGTATTTTTGTTTAGCAAACTACACTTTGCGAAACAACTTTGACAGTTCGTAACAATCTAAGGAGTTTACAAGTTGGTTTTAGTGAGAAAAAAGTGTTTGGTGAGCTTAAGATTGGTGAATCTTGTTCAGTTCAGTTCTTAGAATAATTAAAAATTTTATCTAAATATGTTTAAAACTCATAAAGATTATTATATAACCTAAAAATACGTTATCATCCTTTCTCACTTGAGGCCACGCTGATCATTAGTCTATAGGTTTCTCTATCTACGTATAGAAATAATAGTTATACAAACATCTATAATATCGACACACACTTGTCAAAAATACTTTCGTTTATTTTTAACATAGCAGTAGCTTCATTATAAAAGGGCGTAGAGGGAGGATAGAGGATATAAACTAGAGAAGTCATCAGCGTATGACGTGTGAGATAGAAGTAGTATAATCCGACTATGTGCACGTGACCCAGCCAGTGTTGTCATCAGCGAGGGACTACTATTGTTTATCCCTGCAGGTTTCGGGCCTCGGGGCGTATCCCATTACCCGGGTGATCCTCACAACCCATTTATTTGGACCGGTCTTGGGAGCCGTACAAGGACGGCATTGTAGGTTCTCTTCGTTGGCGTATTGCGCGCCACCAGATAGGTGCTTCCGGAGGGTCAGCAGTCTCGAAGCCCCGCGGAGTCCCGTGGACAGGGAGTCGACGCAGGGCCAATCCTGCCAACAGGTGTGCGCTTCTAACAGCAGCACTCCGGGCCTCCAGTGCTCCTCCCTGGCTCTAGGTTAAGGCCTGGTGAATTACAAGGCAGAAATTGGCGTATCTCGCGCCTCTGGGAAGGGATCCGCCGAAGGGTCAGCAACCTTTAGGTCCCACGGAGACGCGTCTCGACGCGGAACCGAAGTCACCAACAGGCGCACGCTCTCGTAGCAGCACGCCAGGCCTTCGGAGTTCGCTTCTCAGCATGGTAGATTAAACTTTGGTATCTAACGTCCTGGGTGGGGTCAGGGGCGTCCTCGAGACTTGAACCGTAATCCGAGTTGGCCCCACAGTACGTGCACCCACTGCGAAGCGACGCGCTGTATTTCTCTCACCCGGGCAGAAACCGACGACCGACGGACGTGACCGGTTGCGAGCGCGGTCCGGACGCGACTTGCGTCTGACCCGAATTCAGTACGTAATTATCTGTATTGGAATGCTTTACATTATGGAGAGTAGAAGTAAGGAGTACAGACTGTGTATTAAAAAGTGTCCACAAAAACCTTTAAATAAGGGTGGCGCCACTATATATTTTAAAGAACGCACCGAAAAATATTAGTGGGATAGACGACTTTTTCGAGGTTATATTTACTAAATAAAATTATTTTAGATTTTAGAGCTACTGATCAGTTTAGCAGCACAATTAAACCGGCGACAACTGCTAAGTTCATTTTATCCCAGTAGCTACTCCAGCGCTGTTTTGGAGAGTTTTTGAGCTGTATTCTACTATGGGAGTTGGTACTCCTTACTTCTACACTCCATACTTTACATATTGGTTTCTTTATTGAGATAAATCTGAATTTATTTTCTTTATTATTTTATGTCATTTTACTTAAAACATGCGTAATCTTAACGTTAAACATCTGTTAGCTTAATAATATATATAATAGGTTTTACAGTCACTTTTAACAAAAAAATATGCGTTACAACGGTATCTATAACGAAAATTAATTAGACACCACTCTTTTGTCTGACATCAAAAAACTGGTGGCATACAACAATAAACCCGTACGCAAATATAGACAAAAGACTTAAGCACTGTCCTTTTCTCTCATACCGTACCTTTTATATGCTTCTTCTCACTCTAGTAATTATCTTTTAATGGCGAGTCTATTGTATATCCTCTGTCTACAGAAAAGGGAGACTACAGTTTTTCACTTGCTTATTTTGACTACACTTTCGTGTGAGAGTTTACCACATCCGTGCGTGACCACTGACCACTGACTTAGAAGTATATGGACTGGGCATACATACATAATTAGCGTGACTACCTACAAAAATCTGGCGCATAAAATTGCCGCCTTTTAAGAGTTGTAACTCAGCAATGTGCGCATCTGATATCTATATTTTAACTTATATGAATTTTTCTCGTTTTATATAATCGTATTTGTTGCTTAATATACTTTATTCCGTAGGTATTTACATAGATACGGGGCCGAATTTTCAATCGTCAAATGACTTATCTGAGGTATAAATGTGACTGACAGATTTATGGCATTTATTTAGATAGAAATCAAATCCTTTTTTGTGTATAAATAATTACAAAGATCACTGGTTGCGCGGAAAACCATTCGTATTTATTTAATTTGACGGTAGGCTGCCAAATCGGTTATCCCTTTCCAAAACGATATCATTCATACCCTCCTATCGACACATCGGGGTGGTGGGGTGGGAGGGGAAAGAAGATGATTCTAGAACATCACGTAATCATCGGAACCGAAGATATATAAGGCACGCGCGACCGACGCGCACCCTCTTCCCGCCGCGCTCGTTGTTGGAACCACACCGCTAGTAGAACCGCTTTAGCCTGGAAGCAGTCGAGCTCCAGGAAACCCGCCTCACCTCGTGTGAGATATAGTCGCGCACCGCCTCTCTCCGGAGTGTGTGTCCAGAAGAAGTTCCAGAGGTCGCAGCTATAGTGCTCGACCGAATAGAAGACTGAACCCCGGTGAGTCAATATTCCTAAATATATCCTGTTTGATATAACTGTGTTTTAACCCGCTCCAATTTTGTTTTCTCCTAATCAAGCAGGATTCCTTTCATCGATTTGGCAAATAATAGTTCGTTTTTTAGGGAAGAGCGAGTGCATTGTACCGCATGCTATAGTTGCCGTTTATATAAGTGTAGAAACATTTAGTAGATACAGTCCACTTAGATTAATAGCTCGCGTAATAGGTTTTAAGGTTCGACCGGGGAATTAGACTTCGGCAACCTTAGGCTCGACGCTCCACCATTTTATGGTCACTTCGGCAGGATTTGGACTGGTGTTTAGTAGTCGTTCAACCATTTTCTGGTCGAATTATTAGATTAATTATTTAGATAATGCACTCTAGTTTATGGAATAGTCTTAAATAGTGTTCGTTTAAATTTAAATTTTGGTTAGGTACTCGCAAACAGAATTATTCATTTAAATAGTGTTTGTATTTGGTTTAAATTTAAAGCTTATTAGTCGCTTAAATAATTGAAACAGTGTAATAGCAATCGTTTTGTACGCGTACCCGACAATTTTGATAAAAATTATATTGAGTCTAGCGAGCGACACGCGTCACCTCGACTCGCTGTAACAGGTGTTCGATTTAATTACGTAATACAGCATACGAGTGTCCATCCTTCATTATTTGTGCGTTGTGAGATTAGTTGTGATTAATATAACTTTATTGAAATAATTTAAAATGGCAGTTAGTGGAAATGAAATTAAAATTAAAACGCTTTATGCCAAGAGGGACATACTTTTTTCACGTATACAAAGTATTAGTGATCACATAAAGAACATCAATGTAGAAGCAGTGCGGGAAACTTTTTTGAATGAAATTGAAACGGTAGATTCTTTGCGGACGGATTACGAAAGAATATTAGACCAAATTAATCATTTGGAATTACAAATCGACCCGAAATACATAGTGAACTACCAACCGCTTCTAGCATTTGAAGATATGTTGTGTCGCGTGAAAAGAACGGAGAAACTCTTACAATCTCAAAACGAAGCAAAGCCGGAAATACAGGTACGTCCACGTAACTCAATTAGGTTGCCGCCAATAGATATTCCGGTATTCAATGGTGATATTAAGACATGGCCCTTCTTCTTCAGTAGTTTTCAAAACAATATACACAATAACCCATCGTTATCGGACGCTGAAAAATTATATTATTTAATTAGTAAACTTAGTGGCAGAGCACAGTCAATTTGCTCTGGTTTTACACCTACAGCAAACAATTACTTGTTAATACTCGAAACGCTTAAAACTAAATATGAAGATAGGAGAATGTTAGCTTCCGAATATTTGAACCAGATATTCGATCTTAAACCTATATCATCCGCGAACATCAACGGCTTAGAGCAGTTCTTAGATATATTTGTGGCATCGGTAGCTGCACTTAAGAATTTGAAATTTAATGACCTTATGGACGTGGTGTTTCTCCATATTGCACTAAAGAAATTAGACCCCGACACCGTGCGTGCGTTTGAAATGGAGCATCGTAGCTCGGAGATGCCTTCCTTTCATTCATTAGCATCGTTCGTGCGAGATCAAATAAAGGTGATGCAGCGCTCTCCGAACGTTAAACAGGAGATTAAAGGGTGCGTCGACCGTAGACAGACTCAACCATCTAAAATAGCAGGGTCGTTAAGTTACGTAACCGCTACGTCAACATCACTTCAGCATACTTGTATCGTATGTAAAGATAAACACGGTAATTTATATAATTGTGCGACTTTTCGTAAATATTCACCAAGCGAACGTTATAAATTAGTAAAGACAAACAACCTATGTCTGAACTGCTTAAGTGATAAGCATTTAGTTGCAAAATGCAATTCGAGTTCCGTATGTAGCAAGTGCGCCAGGAAACATCACACGCTATTACATTTTGAAAATAGCAACATAGCAGCGTCAAGTAAAGCGGATAAGGAATTCACCCCTACTAAAGTCAACGATTCTAGCGGTCGACCTGGTGATGTCGCTCTGTGCTCATTGGCAAATATGGGAGCACAACCTCCTTCAACCGTGTTACTGGGTACGGCGCGTATTGTGGTTAGGGATTCGCGTGGAAACGAACAAGGCGTCCGTGCACTGCTGGACAGCGGAGCCCAAAATAGCTTTATAACGCGACAATGTTGTCAGCGCTTAGGCTTAGTAATAAATAGGTCACTTTCATGTCCTGTAGTCAAAGGCATCGGAGGTACTAGTAAAGCTACCCAGGGACATATAAATTTAAAATTTTATTCTCGGATAGATCGTAATGTTAACTTTGATATAAATGCACTAGTAGTGGATAGGGTCACTGAACGGTTGCCAACCGTTTCGGTTGACACCTCGGCAATGATTGAATTTAAAAATTTGACTCTAGCGGACGACACTTACGCCGTTCCTGGAAACATAGACATGCTCATTGGAGCATCGCTTTTCCCTCATCTTTTGTTAAACAATAAGGTCAGGGGCAACTCCTCGCATACCGCGCCTTACGCACTGGAAACCGTATTGGGCTATGTTATCGTTGGCTCCGCCCCCATCATAGATAGTATTTCGGCAACCTCTTATTGTGGTATGGCTGTCGAACCGCTCGAGTCGTTAGTCCGCAAATTTTGGGAGATGGAGGAGGTGAACGTCCCACCCATAGCTAGCTCGGATGACAGATTATGCGAGGAAATTTACGTCCGCACGACCGTTCGTGATCGCGACGGTAGATATAGTGTAGCGCTGCCCTTTAAAGGAGATGTTTTATCTCTCGGCGATTCGCGTCAAATGGCGGAAAAACGTTTCTACAGCTTGGAGCGTAGGATGCTCGCTTCACCCCAGTTAAAGGAAGCTTATGACGGCGTCATTAACGTATATATAAGAGAAGGTTACATATCACTCGTGGCTTCGAAATTAGATAACTACGAAGACACACCGTCGTATTTCATACCACACCACGGGGTCATTAGGGAGGACAAACTTACATCTAAGTACGTGTAGTGCTCGACCCTAGTGCTAAAACTAGCACTCACCTGTCGCTTAACGATATCCTCTATAGTGGGCATAATTTACAGGGCAGTTTATTTAATATAATAGCCAATTTTCGTTTGTTTAGTATAGCCCTATCCGCCGATATTCGCCAAATGTTTCTTTGCATAGGGGTCCGTGAATGCGACCGTAGATTCCAACGCATTTTATATCGTTTCAACCCAAAGGAACCTCTAATGGTGTTTGAATTTAACCGCGTTTGTTTTGGTTTAAAGTCGAGCCCATTTCATGCGTTACGCACGGTGAAACAGCTCGCCCACGATGAAGGTCCCTCTTACCCTAAAGCTAAGAGGGCAATTGAGAGCGGTTTATATATGGATGATTTTGTATACTCGGTCGATAGCGTGGAGGAGGCCACCCTAACCACCGCCGAGGTTATAAAGCTCATGAAATCGGGTCAATTCGATCTTGTGAAGTGGATTAGTAATTCGCGTCCGGTTTTAGATACAATCCCACTATCACACCGTCTTTCGGCGATAAAGGAATTCGACGATTCTGATACACACAAGGTGCTCGGTCTGTGTTGGTCACCAGAGTCCGACGTGTTTAGCCTTAAGGTAAATCCGCCCGTAGAGAAATGCACAAAGCGCACAATACTGTCATGCGTTGCTAGATTATGGGATGTCATGGGTTTCGTAGCTCCGGTGGTATTATACGCTAAGCTTTTGATTAAACAACTTTGGTTATTTGAATGCGATTGGGATGATTCGCCGCCTGACAGCATTGTTCGGTTGTGGCAGCATTTTAGAGAGGAACTTCCTTTACTAAGAGAAATTAAAATACCGCGTCATATAAACGTCGATAGAAATAGCGTCATAACGGTCGTTGGGTTTGCAGACGCCAGCGAGAAGGCTTACGGGGGCGTTGTATATTTCCACGTTCAGAATAGTGGTAGAAATTCGATTAGCCTCATTATTTCTAAGTCGAGAGTCTCCCCCCGTAAGGTTGTCTCTCTGGCGCGCTTAGAGCTTTGCGCAATATTAGTACTCACCAAGCTTATTACCGCAGTTATCAGCGCATGTAGGGATAGAGTTCACATAGAAAGGATATTTGCCTTTTCCGACTCCACCGTCGCCTTATGCTGGGTTCATTCTTCACCCCACCGTTGGGATACGTTTGTCGCGAACCGAGTGGCCAAGATCCAAGACGAGTTAGAAACGCGGAACTTTTATCACGTGTCCGGTACGGAAAACCCTGCCGATTGTCTATCCCGTGGACTCACCCCGATGCAAATAATGGACCACCCGCTTTGGTTCCACGGACCTTCTTGGGTTCACTTGGATCCCTCGCAATGGCCAATAACCGATTTCGAACCTTCGTCAGTGTCACAACCGCCGGAAGAGAAGAGACACGCTCTAGTGGCGAACGTTTCGAGCGAGGTTTCTCCAATCATTGCTTTGGCGAACCGCTTGTCCTCTTGGTCGAAATTATTGCGTAGCGTAATTTACGTTTGTCGATTCGCGAAGCTTTTACCGCGACGTTCGTATGTCTTAGCGTCCGATTACAACTATGCCGAGTCGCTAGTATTACGTGAACTTCAACGTGCACACTTCTCTGAAGAAATTACAAGATTACAATCGAATAGAGCTTGTAGTCGCGCCTTTCAACGCCTTAAGCCATTTTTACAGGATGGGATTGTAAGGGTAGGTGGACGCTTGTCCAACTCGCAGTTGAGTTTCGACCAACGGTACCCTATAGTTTTACCGCGCAAAGACCATATCATGAATTTATTAGTTGATTACCATCATAAATTGAATTCGCACGCTGGCCCCGACTTGCTGATGTCGATCTTGCGTCAGAATTATTGGATTCTTTCTGCACGTAGTTTAATACGCAATCGGGTGCACAGATGTATAGCTTGCTTTCGGGCACGCCCCAAGCCGTCATTTCCGGAAATGGCGGAACTTAGATCTTGTAGAGTAATACAATCAGTAAAGCCCTTTACGCACACCGGGTCTGATTTCGCTGGTCCGTTTAAGGTCACGCTCACTCGCGGGCGTGGTATAAGATCCACAAAGGCTTACGTCTGCATTTTCGTATGTCTAACTACTCGAGCGGTGCATATAGAACTCGTTGGTGATCTAAGCACAGCAGGCTTTATGGGTGCATTTAAAAGATTTCTATCCCGCCGTGGCCCTGTAAGTAAATTATATTCGGATAACGGTACGAACTACGTCGGTGCAAAACGTATTTTATCAGAACTACATGAGCTCTTAGCTAGCAAGTATTATAATTCGGAGTTCGCTCACATTCTAGCCGAGAACCGCATTGAGTGGTCTCTGAACGTCCCAGCCGCGAGTCATTTTGGGGGCAATCGGGAGACTAATATTAAGAGTCTAAAGAGTCACTTATACCGAGTAATAGGAGATCAAATTTTGTCCTTCGAAGAGCTAAGTACGGTGCTCGCTCAAATCGAATGCGTAATGAATAGCCGCCCACTTTGTCGTACGTTGTCTAGTGACCCCTCGGAACCGCTGGCTCTAACTCCAGCACATTTTTTAAATTTAACGCCTTTAAAGTATTTGCCCGCCGTAGATATGGATGAGAACAGACTTAGCATTTCCGCACGCCAAAAATTATTAGACCGGTTAGTGCAATCGTTTTGGAAACGATGGAGGATGGAATACTTGCATACTTTGCAGTCTCGGCAAAAATGGAACACAGCAACTGAGCCTTTAGCTGTAGGAACTGTAGTTGTGCTCACCAAAGAGAATACGCCGCCTCTCCACTGGCCGTTAGGAATTGTCGACGAGGTCTTTCCCGGTTCCGACGGAGTAATTAGGGTAGCTCGCGTTAAGACCACGGTTGGGTCTTACCTGCGTCCTGTTGTCCGTTTGTGCCCCCTGCCTCTTCCATAATTTAAATTAGCTTTCTGGATTAGAAATTGTAGTTGAATTTAGGTAATCTTAGCGTTAGTTAGTTATTTTGTTAGTTTGATCTTAGCCCTAGTTGTTTTAGTTATTTTTTGAAGGAAATCCTTCAAGGGCGGGGGAGATGGTTGCGCGGAAAAACCATTCGTATTTATTTATTTTGACGGTAGGCTGCCAAATCGCTTATCCCTTTCCAAAACGATATCATTCATACCCTCCTATCGACACATCGGGGTGGTGGGGTGGGAGGGGAAAGAAGATGATTCTAGAATATCACGTAATCATCGGAACCGAAGATATAAAAGGCACGCGCGACCGACGCGCACCCTCTTCCCGCCGCGCTCGTTGTTGGAACCACACCGCTAGTAGAACCGCTTTAGCCTTGAAGCAGTCGAGCTCTAGGAAACCCGTCTCACCTCGTGTGAGATATAGTCGCGCACCGCCTCTCTCCAGAGTGTTTGTCCAGAAGAAGTTCCAGAAGTCGCAGCTATAGTGCTCGACCGAATAGAAGACTGAACCCCGGTGAGTCAATATTCCTAAATATATCCTGCTTGATATAACTGTGTTTTAACCCGCTCCAATTTTGTTTTCTCCTAATCAAGCAGGATTCCTTTCATCGATTTGGCAAATAATAGTTCGTTTTTTAGGGAAGAGCGAGTGCATTGTACCGCATGCTATAGTTGCCGTTTATATAAGTGTAGAAACATTTTGTAGATACAGTCCACTTAGATTAATAGCTCGCGTAATAGGTTTTAAGGTTCGACCGGGGAATTAGACTTCGGCAACCTTAGGCTCGACGCTCCACCAATCACAGATCCCATATTATAGTATTTTTAAAATAAAATAATATTGATTAGTTGATTAAAAATGAAATAAACTATTTTAAAAATTAGTACTTATTTATTATTAATTGTTCTGCACATAATTCATCACAAATAGTAAGTTACACAAGCAAGTTGTATATCATATTTTATTTATTCATTCAAATTTGAAATGAAAAATATTATTATTTTTCGCACAATTCGAAAATCTGGCATGATAATGATTTCTTATATTTACGCGAACACTACACATTGAAATAATACTAGTTTTTACGGAATTTATCGCGTATATTTAACTTTTTAAATACCCGACGTTTCGAACGCTTTACAGCACTCATGGTCACGGGCGGGACTGAGATGTTCAACGTCCATATGTCATAGTTAACCGCGGTTACCATAGATTAAAATTTAACTTTTGTTCCGATCTATACAGTATGAACTTATGGTATCTTGAAGTCTTGCAGTTGTATGCTTGGGTTGGGATTTAATTTTATTTATTATCGTATCCCAAGCAGATGGTAGCACCCAGCCATCTTCTCTATTGAAATTAGGATGTTTTTTGATTTCAATAGCCTCGCGAATAATCCTTGGAAGGAATCGGTGTTCTTTAGCGAGGATTTGCGGTCTATCAAATCTGATGTAGTGACGGACGGATGACGGTGGATAGATGGCGATTCTGTACGTGTTCACAGGCTGCAACTTCCCGGAGCGTCGATGGTAACCGCGGTTAACTATGACATATGGACGTTGAACATCTCAGTCCCGCCCGTGACCATGAGTGCTGTAAAGCGTTCGAAACGTCGGGTATTTAAAAAGTTAAATATACGCGATAAATTCCGTAAAAACTAGTATTATTTCAATCTGGCATGATCATGAAACGGTTAAATAAAAATGCATCCTTACCACTATTCAGTTCACTATTCACTACACTATTCAGTCGTCGTCGAAACGTCATTAGCGCTACATCTGTGCTTGTATCGCTTACTTTTTCAAAACTACCTACGATGTCGACCAAATGCGATAACTGTAACAAATCAATCACCAAACGTTCTCCTGGAGTAGAGTGCAACAAATGTGAGCGTTTGGTACACCTTAATACTAAATGTACCGGATTAATCAACAAACAGCTCGCCGCCCTAAAAGCCGCATCACCTGGACTAGGATGGACCTGTCCGAATATTCAGAAAAAAGAAAAAAGAGAATATTCAGAACAAATGGCTAGCAGCAGCAAAAACAGCGTCCGTCACAATTGCAGACATCCACCCGCAAGAACCTGGTAACATTAACCTCGTATGCATAAGAGAAAACATGACTAAACTAAACAAACAAATACTGTGGCTTGCAAAACAAGAACTCGAATTAAAGCTGAATTATGAGTATGTTTGATTCAAAAAAGATTTTGTTAAAGCCCGTAAGGATGATACGAGCAAAATATATTATCTTAGAACCTTAAATGATGTACATGTATTAGCTAATCAGTAGCCGTAATTGCTTGACCCATATCTTTAGTTTGCCTTTCTGCCATTTTTGCTAAGTTATATAATTTAATCAACGTATATATTGTCTTAGGTCCTTATAATTTGATGGAAGAACTAAATGATGAAATTACGGAATGTCTAGACTGTATAAATATTAACAGCTTCTTATAGAAAAACCAAACAATATCAATTTATTATGCATGCACGTAAATATTAGGTCATGGATAAAAAACTTTGCCTCACTTGAACATAATTGTCCTAACATCTATAATATATGTCTTATAATGTATATGTCTCGATCTCATTGTTGTGACCGAGGTTAATATAATGGAATGTATTAAATGCCTATTTAATATCCCTAGATATCAAATGTTTACTTCTCTGCGCGAAGCCCGAAGGGGAGGCGGCATTGTACTTTACATACACAACAAACATCAGAAAACAACTAAAAACATCACTACGGAACATTTTGAAAATATTTTATGCACAATCGCCTCTCATTCGGTTTATTCCGCAGACATATGTGCCGTGTACCGCCCACCTAAAAATAGTAAAAACTTATTCATTAGCGAACTAGATAGCACTTTACGTAAACACTGCTCCAATGGTGAGTTGTTTTTAATAGGAGACATTAACATTGATCTTAACTCGGATAAACCTGTAAAACATAGGTACAGTAACACTTTGCACTGCATGGGCCTTGTGCGTGGGATCACCGACAACACGCGTATAGAAATATTAGCTAGTAAGTTAAACAAGTCCTGCATTGATCATATTTATGGTAGATCCCATACACAAGACCTTTACACGGCAGCAATTGATACGACACTGGCGGATCACCGAGTTATAGTGTTCGCCTGCGTTGGATTGAGTATACAGGCCGTTCCAAAAATAAGAACTTTTCTAAATAATATTGCACTTATTAAATCACTTCGTAAAATAAATAAAATCGAGGGAATTATCTTGTCCTTATAGTATTTAAAATTTCATACACGAAAATTTTAATAAGTGTTATACGGAATGTAGGGAAGAGTCAAAAAGTATCCTTAAACCAAAACGTATTGGTAATGAATCGATAAACAAAAAAAACCCTGAAAATATGCCAATACAGGGACAAATGATTTAATCAGTGGACAAAAGACTGTAGAAATAGTATTTTAAAGCAAGCTTTCAATAAAACACGAAATTAAGCAAACACAGTGACTCAAAAAAGTAAAAATAAGTGGCTTAAATTAGAATTTAATAAGAACATACATAGTTCTAGACACCTATGGCAGATATTAAATAAATTAACGGGGCGAATTACAAAATCGATTGATGATGTATTGCTCGACAACTTTGGTAACAGTTGTTATCCTCCATATAACATTGCATGTTCATTTGCTGAAACTTTCGACGTAATCTGCCTTTATTGGATAAGTCATTGTATAGTAACAACGCGAATGTCTCCTTACGCTTTGTACCTGCTAATGCTAATGCAGTAGAAAAAATAGTACGCTGCCTAAAAAAGTAATAAAACGCCAGATATTGACGGGATACGACCTATAGACATAAAAAATATACACCTTAGTCAGTGACGTAATTGCAAATCTTATTAATGCCTGTATAAAAAGTGGAAAGTATCCCCATATTTTAAAAACTGGCATAGTTAGACCTATCCATAAGAAGGGTAGCACTATAGTACATGACAACTATAGGCCAATTACTATTTTACCCGTAATAGATAAAATTGCTGAAAAATATAATTGCAGATAGGTTTATGACTTCTACGCTAAAAATAATATAATAATGGAAAAACAGTATGGCTTTCAACCGAAGAAAAATACCACCCAACTGTTATCGACCTTCACTAACAGCGTTTACAAACATTTAAATAATAAGAGACACGTTTTGGTAGTCTTTGTAGACTATACTAAAGCGTTTGATACACTTAATCATAAAAGCTAATAGACAGTCTTAATGATAGTGGTATCAGAGGCCCATTATTGTCATGGTGCAGAGATTACCTTAATGATAGAAAATATGCGATAAAAGTGGGTGATGCCATTAGTTATTATGTTAACTTTTCGGTAGGCACAGCACAAGGCTCTGTAATTGGACCATTGCATTACATCACCTATGTTAATAGTCTGGTGAACATCATCAGGCGTTGCGAAATATAGCAGTATGCCGACGATACGTGCCTTGTTGCAGCAGGCGAAAATATTAACGAAACTGGCCGCATTCTGCAAGAATAACTTAATATATTAACACAATGGTCTCATGATAAAGGATTAGTTATCAATGCTGGCAAGACCAAGCTAATGTATATAAGTTCAAGTCACAATAGGAGTAAAGTAATACCTAGCATTATTGTGCATGACCACCTACGCCTTCACAAAGGACAATTGACCCTCAATTGTCATTGTGCAGAATTAGAACCGGTAGAAACTCAAACTTATAGGACTTATAGATAGTCGACTCAACTGGAAACATCATATTGAGGATGTGTGTAATAGACTTCGAAGCATATTAGCAAAATTCTCCATAATTAAGTATAAAGTCCCCTATAGAATTCTGCTACAATTATATAAATCACTGGCCGAATCTAAAATTTCATATGGCTTGTTTAGTTATGGGCGAACTTACAAATCACATTTAGATAACGTTTATTCATTGCAACTACGCATTTTAAAAACTAAAGTCCCAGACCAAGTTACAAACTTACACAGGGATTCTGATTACCACAACCTATTCGGTTACTGCAAAATTATACCGGTGCATAAAAAAAGTAGAATATACTCTCTTAAATGAAGAATTATTTAATGAAGATTTTAAAAAAATATGGCATTTCTAACTATTATAAAACCCGCAGTGAGGCCAAACCAAAATTAGCTAAACCTAATTATAATAATTTATACGGAAAACGTACTTTGGAATACATAGTTCCGAATTTAATTAATCAGTTACCAACCTCTTTTCAAAATGAAATTAATCATAAAAATATTAAACACAAATTAAAAAAACTATTATACGAACTGTCTATATCAGACTTCAAACAAAAAAAAATAAAATAAAATACTATAATCCCCACTATTATATAGGTATATTCCCTAAATATACTTATATGATATACAACCTGAGAATAATCATTATATTTCGCCACTATTATTTTTCCCCTGACGCAACGCAGGAACGACCGGTTTTTGAAGCGGTGAGGTGGTCGGTGGCAAGACTCACACCTTTCTTGTGCACTATTAGGTAACTACGTATTTACCGTGTGTTGACCGTGCCAATTGCTGTTTAGTATTTAGTAGTGTTGCATTAAACATATTTTGTAGATTAAGGTGTAGCTCATATGTAAAATTTTTAATGTCGGCGGCTTGTGGTACACGGTAAAGTTTTCATTAAGCTTATGTTGTACCATATTATATCCTCTTTATCATGTATAATATGTTAAATGAATAAATAAATAAAAAATATTCTTGAAATAAGTTGTAAGACACTTATTTGCTTAGAAATATGCTGAAAAAGTTACAATATTATAAGTGAATAGTAACATAATCTAACTACTTCATTCATTGAATAACTGTCAAAATATAAAATGTGATGTGATGAAATTATGCTTCACAAAATTATTTTAATTTAAAACCAATTGCCGTACGTTAGTTTTGCAAAAACTCAGAAATGCCTCTCAATTGCTTATTTTGACAACACTTGTGTATCGTCATTAGCTCATCCATGAGTGACTACGTCGCCATGTTAAGCGCCGAGTTTTGTGGTAGATCTGCTGACAAACTGTTGAATGCTAAAAGTTTTTTTGTTTAGTGCAGTGCGTTCATCTTATCTTATAGTAGGTGTTTTTCTTCTATGTATATTTTATTATGTAGATATATGAAATATGATAGAGTAGATGACCCTAACCACCTAAAATTGATTTGATTGTAAATCTTAATTAAGAGGCATTTCTGAGTTTTTGCAAAATTAACGTACGGCAATTGATTTTTAAATTAAAATAATGTAGTGAAGCATAATTTCATCACGTCACTTGTTATAAATAATTTTATATTAAGGCGCTCTTATACTGACACTTTAGGTATTTAGCGCATCTCCAGCGCGCGCGTTATAAACAACGCAAACACCCCAAAAAAATGAACTCACTTGATCCCGGCACCGCGCTGCTACAGACCACAGTACAAAATAGTTCGCAGTAGGACCACTTCTTATGATTTGAACTGTTTTTAGTTTGTAGTGAGTAGTTACAAATTACTTCTTTAGTTAATATTTTGTATGATGTATTAAATTTATACGTATTTTGTTTTTTTTTACCGATTTCGATTATTTCAAAAAAACTTCGTATAAAATGTTAAATTAAATTTCTTTTTAACAATTTTATGTAAGTTTTACTAATTCGTAAGTATTCAGAGTTAAATAATTACAATAATGATCTAAAACTACATCTTAACCAATCAATCAACTATGAAACAATTTCTAAAACTCTTCCATACTGAGTTGGTGAATCCTTTCAAAATTTTTGTCAGGCTCGTTAGACGTTTGATGGTCAGTCCTGAATAAATCAGGTCTGTTATTTTCTTTGTCTGGTACATCAATTACAGACATGGAGTCACATTCCAGTTTTAGATCTCGGATCGCCATCCCACGTGCATATCTGCTGTTAACAATTTCTGTGAGTAAGCAATTTTTATAAAAAAGTACTAACTTTGACTCCATAGTTTTCCGAAAATCATCATCTCTTTCAATATATTTTGTGAAAATTGTTTCATTGTCACCTGACCAAATTCCTAATAAACAAACTTTCCTACCCGTAACAAGCAGCTGGCCCTGAATTTGGTAGTGCTAGTTACTAGGTAGTCTTCTTGTTTACGGTCACTGTGCCTGTTTTTTTTTGTCGTATTTGAGAATTTGAATTTTGTTTTTCTTAATTGAATTTTCAAGACCTTTTTTAGAAGCTGTAATGGGACACTTTATCTCGACTAGCATATCATCTCCTACCAGTCCGTCCGGAGTTGCACCGATACATGGATGAGTTTGATCGATAAATAATCCAAACAATTAATTATGACAAGCTTTTTTATTGTAACTCTTCTAAGAGGTAATTAATATCAATGAATCGCCGTCCTAGAACATGCTGAAATTCTTCATTGCTTTTTTAGGCTCAATAACGTATGAATCGTTATTGTCTTCAGTTGGTCTGAAAAATAAATTCAGGGAAAAATAGATAAATTAAAATTGTAGATGAACCCCCCTTGGGTTCATCCCCATCGTGAAACTGAACAACTTTCCTAAAGAAACCCATATCGAAATCAGAAAAAAAAATCGATCTCCCAAACAAACTATGTTACTTGACAGGACAATTTGTATAGCAGAACGAATTTTTTTTTAAATTTCGATATGGGGCTTCTTTATTTTTAAATAGCTACTTACACATAATTAGTTATATTATGTACATTGGAATTCAGTGTAGTTGTGCTACTGCTGGGCAAATTACTCTGTTGTCTGAAAAATACATTGTCCAATTATTAAAACAGCACTTGTCAGCAAGTAATGAGAGAAACTATAAGGCCTATAAAGCCTATTAAACTATAAAGCTGGCTGACAGTGGTGCAAACAATGGATTTCCATTGTCCGCGCAACTGTCACTAACCACGCCAATATTATAAATGGGAGAGTTTGGATGTTTGTTTGTTACTTAATATCCTTCAAAACCACTGCACCGAATTGAATGTTCACAGATAGTATATGACCAGGATTAACTTAGGTACTTTTTACCGGTGTTTATAAAATACATGTGCAGGATGTGGCGAAGATCAATTATTTTATATACTTAATGTATAATATGTAGATGAGTAAAATAATAATTTGTTTTTAAATGTCATTTTTCACTAACACACTTTTCATTGAGGTTTTTTTTGTGATCTAAATATGCCTTTGGTCCGTGGTGCTTTTGCACCGAAAACAAAAAAGGTCACAATTGCTACATTCAGTGGTCTTACTGTTATACTTATACTGTGACATATAAAGTAAAAATAAAACTATTGTTTTTACATGAAGTTGCATTTCTTAATTTATTTGTTTTTATTAAAAAGTGAAAATAAATCGACAGGTATTCATTCATACTAACATTAATGTTTTTTATATAAAACTTTAATCTTAAGCTTACTCGCGATCAATATTTTCGAGATCGGAACGGCGGTGCGCGCGAAAATTAGACACAGAACCTGCTTCGGCAAGGCCCGGCGGGCGACTAGCGTGAGCAGATCTTGCATTCGATTATATATTATTTAGATTTATAAAAAGTAAATAGCAATTTTAAAAAACGAACCACAGAATTGTTTGTTAAAAACATGCTTGAATATTGTAGTTTAATTTTTATAGTAATTTACGTGGTATTTCGAAAATGAAACGAAATAATAAAACTCAAAAGACTAAAGTTTAGATAAAATTTCTATCGAAAATTTTTTGAAATATAATGTTTTCAACCGCAGATTTGTAAACCTCATATCCTTAAATTTGTTATGTATTTTTTTTTTGGGTCCTGGAAACTTTATTAGAGTCCATGAAATTGTTTTGAATATCAGTAATTTACTAATAACCGGGCCTTAAAATTCTCAGTATACGCATGTTTGTCGCTACTATCACAAACATGCGTATAAAAACCTCATCTTTCAGGAGTGGCCTTCAGTATGCCTCCATTAGAGTCGTTATTTAAATTATTAAAAAAACCTTATCAATTGCTGTATTAGAATATATTGCGGAATTTGTGGCAGTAAAAGGTTCAGACACCATGCAAGTTTTAGAGTGATTCCACCATTTCGTCCAAATCGTCTTTCTGTCATAACAATCAGCATTAATGTTAAAGTAAATGTCAATATTTTAATGAAATATGTTAATATTTACTTAAAGTTCAAAGAGGCATTTGTTATTTTTGTTATTATTACATAAATAAAAAAATTTTTAGAACAAAAACATGACCAAACTTCATTCCACTCCTTTTCCACACGGCCACTCAAAATATTTGTCATCACATTAAAGCGCTTTCTTAAAGCAAAACTGCACGATTTTTGTCCTTTGCTATTAATAACTTATTAAGGAATATTAATTTTCTACATATGATTTTTTAACGGGTGCGTAACGTAGAAATAATCAGCGTTGAAATTTTGTCACACGAAAAATTTCATTCCATTCCACAGAGTTTGCAATGAACATTATTATGAGTGCGACTCTGTTTTTACATTATGCCAACCGCCCGCGCCTCTCGCGTCCCTCAGTCTGCCGAACTATTTCATCAGACACGGACGTTTGCGATCGAAGCAGAAATTATTTACGATTTAAGTGTTTAGAATTCCGTTTGTCACTGGTAAGTACTCATTACATTCCGTTTATTTATAAAGTTACCGCTTGAGATGAAAAATATAATTTACGATTACATTATTGACTTTAGTTAGGTTATGTCACAGTATAGTTATTAGGGTCAATGTACTATTAAATTTTAAGTAAATTATAAAAATCTGCAAAAAAAATCATTCCCTTCCATTTCATTACATTCCATTCCCACTAATTTTTATACGGAGGGGAATGAAACGTTTTGGAAGGGAATTTTTTTTTGTTGAATGCTATAGATAACCAATGCAAGTCATAAATGATGCAAATTTTTTACTTGCCTCATGTAAATAATTATAAAATGTGTATAAACAGTAGGCTGTGGTCTAAACCGACTCCTAAATTGACAAAACAATACAATTTACAGGCTCCATTTCATTGACGCCTTTTTCATTTTTTGTTTCAGATGTGTTACGTATTTAATGTGTATTTTAATTCGTTTGTAAATCTTTTTGTAGGTAACTATACAATTATGGAGAAGCCAAAGAAAAAAGCAACAGCACAAGAAAAAATTAGCCAAAGACAGGCTACGAAAGAAGGAAAAATATGCAGAAATCAAAAAAGATCCTGAAAAATACAGACTTGAAAAAGAGAAAGAAAGAAAGAAGTACCTTTTAAGAAAAGAAAAGAAAAAGATTCTCAGCATAGCAGAAATTACTGACAGACAAAAAAGGGAGCAAAGGCGAAGATGGCGAAAAAACTCAAGAAAATATTTGAATAAATTAAAGGAACAAAAGAAGATAGAACGTGTTTTACTGGAAAACTCACCACCCACAAGCGAAAATGAAGAAATTGCGAATATAGCAGATCCCGATCCTTTGATGGAAATAGAAAAAACACCAAAGACAGTCAATAGCAAAGCAACCCAATCGATCCAAGTAAATTCAAGTGGTACAAGAAAACTGCGATATAGATCAATGAAAGTAATTTCTAATTTAAAGAAATAAATAAATAAACTAAAGAGAGATAAGGATATGCTGAGGAAACAAATAAAAAAAGAGCGAGAAATGCAGAGAGTAAAAAATAATATTGCAGATACAATAGAAAAAAAAGTAGATCAAGTAATTAAAGACACATTTGAAGACTTTGTGCAAGTTGTTCAGCAAAACATTGCAAATGTTAAGCTCATTGTCATCGCAGAGGAAGCGATAACGGACAAAGAATTTCCCAAAAACATTCCTGCATTTAAAGGGACAATCAAAGTCCACCAAACTCTTTGGTCTTCATCTTTGCCCTTCGACATTACTTTTAGAAGTCTTAGTTGTTTTGATTGTCGAGATAGTTACATACCATGTAAACATAGAAAACATCTCGGAGTACTAAATATGGAACTTTGTCAAGAAGCAACTGCACAAGAAATGTCTAGTTATATTAATGTTACGCGCTCAAGTCGACGATACACTAGCGCCATCTAGTGTCAGGAACGAGAGCGAGGGGAGCATTGAGAAAATGACATCACAAATCACTCAACCGACAGCGCCTAGTCGAAACTCGAACGCTCGGTACCTTGCGCGTGTTTACTTGAACATTCTGGATATTTCTTTGCTAATTTAAATAAGTAGGCGCTGCAAGATGCGATCGGAGTAGAGTTGAACTCGGCGACACAAGCGAAGCTTCGGAGCGGAAATAAGTGAATTAGTGTGTTTAATTATTAGTGTTTTTAGTTTTAATTTGTGTAAAGTAAATTAAAGTGTTAATTTAGGTAATTTTATCGGCAATTTTTATTGTCACGAACCTCAAGCTCGTAACAATTGGTGTCAGAAGTGGGATAAAATCATGCCGATTTTACCTAAGGAGGAAACGTAGGGTGTTCGTACCCGCAGTCAACGCCAGCATGAGACGGACCAGAGAAGATTTGGTGGTGCAACGCCGCAGACGTCGGAGGGTCAGCCGCCGGCAACGGAGGCCGGTTCGTCAGTAGCTCCTGCATCTGCAGCACCTGATTTAGGCGCCCTGATGGTGATGCTGCAGGAACAGGTCCGTCGGTTGGAAGAGCAGCTGCGGGGCGGACAGGCAGAACAGGCCCGCCGACAGGAGGAACAGATGCTTCTCATGAAGGACCTTCACGCTACCTTCGGAAAAGAGATAAGAGAGGTGAAGGATAAGTTTGCTTAACATGAAAACCGCCTGTCGGAAGCTGAAACCCGAATTGACCAAGTGAACAATCGGGTTGACAACGTAATGGCTGACATGAGGAAATCACTTGACGAACTCAAACTTGGGGAGGAAACTACAGCTCCCGAAGTAGCTACCTTAGTAGACACCTTCGCTTCGTGGGTTCAAGGTGCCACCATTCGATGGGACTTCTTCCTGGTCAGCCTACAAAATCCAGTTCGAGGCTGTTATGAAGGCGAACTGCTGGAATAAAAGTCAGGCCATGACTGCTCTCACACTAGGCCTGCGCGACCAGGCCTTAACAGTTCTGGAAGCTCTCGGTGAGGAAATGACTTATGAGCAACTCCTTGAGGCATTGGAGGCGAGATATGGCGACGCTCACCTGGAACACGTCTTTCGTGCGCAGCTTAAAGATCGTGTGCAGCGCATCAACGAAAACCTGCAGCAGTGGGCTCTAGAAGTGGAGAAGCTGGTGCGAAAAGCATACCGGTCTGTACCTGCGCTCATTGAAGGGAACCTGGTGCAGACATTCATCGACGGCAACCGCGACCTGGAAGTCAGAGCTGCTGTGAGGCTCGGGCACCACGAGACGCTTAAGGACGCCTTGGCCCATGCACTGGAAGTGGAAGCCGTGCGGCAGGATCATCGTTCCCATCGCGTCAGGGAGGTTGCAGCAGCTACAGTTCGCGACCGCAACAAAGGATACAGCCCAAGGTGCTATGGCTGTGGGGAAAAGGGCCATCTTCGATCCAGCTGCCCTAAGCGAACCCTAGAAAGGGAAAGTGAACGGTATCAGGAGGGTAGTGCAGCTAACGGCACTGCCTGGCGGCGACAGGATCGTCGTTCACCTCACGCTAGGGAGGTTGCAGCAGTTACGGTTCGCGACCACAATAGAAGATACAGCCCTAGGTGCTATGGCTGTGGGGAAAGTGGCCATCTTCGGTCCAGCTGCCCGAAGCACACCCTAGGAAGGGAAGGTGAACGGTCTCAGAAAGGAAGTGCGGCTAACAGCACCGCCCAGTAGCAGCAGGAATACGACTTTACTATCAGACACTGCAGCGGGAAATCTCACGGCAACACAGATGCATTGTCAAGAAGACCTTGTCCTGAAGATGGCAACCATTGTAGTAGGCAAGGTAAGGAAGTGGTATCCGTGAGGATGCTCAGAACAGACCACCTCAGCAACGGGTGGAAGGACAGCCTACGACATGCACAGCAGGAAGATCCGGACATCAAGCCGATTCTGGGATGGATGAAGGCCCGTGCTACCAAGCCTAAGTGGAAGGAGGTCTCAACGATGAGTTCAACCACGAAAAGCTATTGGGCCCAATGGGACAGCTTGCTGCTTCAGGATGGAGTCCTGTGCCGTAAATGGGACAATGGTCGAGGAGACAGCTGTCGTCTGCAAATGGTCGTCCCTAAAGCTAAAGTGCCGAATGTTCTACAGCTGTGCCATAATGGTCGTTCAAGAGTCCATCTGGGAGTTAAACGAACCCTACTGAAGGTCCGAGAACAGTTTTACTGGGTCCATTATCGTGACGATGTGGAGGATTGGTGTCGTACATGTACAAGTTGTGCGGCCGTGCGGGGACCTTGGACACGTAGTAGAGGAGCACCGAAATTGTACAATGTTGGTGCACCACGGGATAGGACAGTCCTTGACATTGCGGAGCCGTTACAGAAAGGCGCAAGAGGGACTCCTAAGATCGTCCATGTGAATCGCTTGGCGCGTTATTATGGGACCGATAATGCTCGGGACGACCATGTCTTAGGAGGGGGCAGTGTTACGCGCTCAAGTCGACGATACACTAGCGCCATCTAGTGTCAGGAACGAGAGCGAGGGGAGCATTGAGAAAATGACATCACAAATCACTCAACCGACAGCGCCTAGTCGAAACTCGAACGCTCGGTACCTTGCGCGTGTTTACTTGAACATTCTGGATATTTCTTTGCTAATTTAAATAAGTAGGCGCTGCAAGATGCGACAGGAGTAGAGTTGAACTCGGCGACACAAGCGAAGCTTCGGAGCGGAATTAAGTGAATTAGTGTGTTTAATTATTAGTGTTTTTAGTTTTAATTTGTGTACAGTAAATTAAAGTGTTAATTTAGGTAATTTTATCGGCAATTTTTATTGTCACGAACCTCAAGCTCGTAACAATAACTATAACGTTGTAAATGTGATGAAGTCCTTGACTGATGGAACTAATGGTGGAACATATGATCCTTCTGACGTTAACAGCCCAATCAACATCGATTCGCCAACCATATTTAACAATATCGGAGATTTGAGGCAATTCGATTTATTATCAGAAACTTCAACCCCGGAAATAAATATAAACAATAAATCTAAAGTAAACATTTTATCCAACATTCCAGTAAAGTACCACAATTGTAATATTCAAGGATTTAGTTCCATTAAGCAAACAGAATTTAAGGAGTTAATTCAACATCCAGTTCTTCAAGATTTCGAGGATGATATTGAGGAGCTAGTAATCAAATCTGATTTCGGTCGTGATCAGAATACATCTATTAGACATCGAAACCAAAGAAAACGTCGAAGTAATTGAATTAAAATATGACTTAGACCAATGGGTGGTCGTTGAATATAAAATGAAGAAGAACTCACAGTATTTCGTTGGCAAAATCATCGATAAGATGAGTAGCACACTTGAATATAAAATATTATTTTTAAGGAAAGGGCATGGAAAGTCGGTAAAGTTCCATTGGCCAGCAATTTGCGACGATGATATTGTATCTGAATCTCGTATTCTACAGCACTTGGGAGAACCAGAAGAATCTAGAAGAGATGAATTTACTTTTAAAAAGTTACCAAACCTTAATTTCAGGTAGACTGATTAGACATAACGTAACTTATATGATTAATAAAGAGTAAATTACCTATGTGATTTAAAGAAAAACAAGCGATTTAATTTTTTGATATTATATTTTACTAGATTTTTTATGAAAACAGCGTTTTCGTGTTTTGTATGTTCCAGTCTACATTTTTCTTTATAACATTGAACCTATGTTTAATTTGTTGTTATTCTCATTCTCACAAAGATCTCAGTCTCCTAATTTGATATTATTTTATAGTATCTTTATCATACTTTGTTATCTTTTTTTTTTCAAATTTTCTAACATTTATTAAAAATTCTATTGATTTCATGATTTTCATTTATTGACTATAATACCTAACTCCCTAATTAAACACACCACAGATAAATTACATAGTTTTTGTCAATGATAAACATAACATTTATAAAGGATTTACTCCTTTTCATTACCTTCCCAAACTAAATCATTACACTCTCATAACATTTCATTACCCTCCAAAGTTAATCATTACACTCTCACTATATTTCATTACCTTCCACGCTCTCATTACACTCCATCCATTTTCTTGAAAAGGAAATGGTTTTCACGAACGCCTTTCACAATAACCTGTATCTACAACATATACGAATAATTTAATACATATTTTTTTCAAAGCCGCAAACAAAATAAATATTCCACGAAATTGCCTCGTTTCGGCCGAAACGGTGGAATCATTCTTTAAGTTTTAATTAGTGTGCGGTAATTAAAGTGTCAATTTTGGTAATTCAATCGGCAGTTTTTACTGTCACAAACCCTAAGCTCGTAACAATTGGTGTCAGTAGTGGGATAAAATCATGCCAATTTTACCGAAGGACGACACGGAGGGTGTCCGTACCTGAAGTCAACGCCAGCAGGAGACGGATCAGAGACGATTTAGTGGTGTAATGCCGCAGACATCGGAGGGCCAGCCGCTGGCCACGGAGACCGGCCCGTCCACAGCTCCTACGTCTGTAGCTCCTGACTTAGGTGCTCTGATGTTGATGCTACAGGAGCAGGCTTGCCGACAGGAGGAACAGGCCCGTTGGTTGAAAGAGCAGCAGGAGGAACAGGCCCGCCAACAGGAGGAAAAGGTCCGTCGGTTGGAAGATCAGCAGGCGAAAAAGGCTCGCCGATTGGAAGAGCAGGTGCGGGGCGGAAAAGAGGAACAGGGCCGTTGGCTGGAAGAGCAGATGCTCCTCATACCTCCTGGACATCCGCGACCTTGAAGTTAGAGCTGCTCGGAGGCTCGAGCACCACGAAACACTTAAGGTGGCCCTAGTCGATAGCTCGAACTAAATGGTGGGCGGGGTTAAAATGCATGTTATCTCAGCCGACATCACGTGCGAAAGGGATAGACGCTGTGATGAGCAGTAAGTAGCTAGTGCGCACACACATACGCACTCGAGTGACGCATTGCGCGATGGCATTATCGCGTACCTACCTATGAGATTCATATTTGAATAATAACATAAACTCAAACGGCAATTGTGAGCTTCTTGGCGCAGTGACTTAGCAATGAGTAGCTGCGCTGGGGGCCGCGGGTTCGAATCCCACACGGAACAAATATTTGTATGGCCTACAAATAGTGTTTCCGGGTCTGGATGTTTGTCCTTGTACAATTTATGTTTGTAAACTGCCTCCACGATACAGGAGAAAATCCTACTGTGGGGATAACGTATTTTAAAAAAAGAAAGAGAGAGGAAACAAATTGGTGTTATTATTATGAACCCAATTTAGTTGTTATTATGAAAGTTCTTATATGAATTTAAGTAGATGTTGTTATATAATAATTTCATGGATTTGTTTTTACCTACTTTTTAACCGACTTTGAAATAAGGAGGTGGTTCTCAATTTGTTGCTTTTTTGGTTATGTATGTTCTGTTACCAGATTTCTCGAAGATGCCTGAACCGATTTGGAAAATTATTTCTTGGTTTGAAAGAATATACTTTCCAGATGATCCCATGGTAATCGATGATGGTCAGATCAAGATCTGATGATGGGATCTTGGAGAAATCGAGGGAACTCTTCAATAAATGACAGCAAATCAGCCGTGATTGCTGCTATCGCGTATCTATGCAGTATAATATCACGCCTGTACCCACTAAAGGGACATAACTCTTAACTAAAAATAGTAACATTAAAAAAAATATAACCGACTTCTAAAACAGAATAAAGTGTAAAATAATTATGTTTTTTTAATGTTTTTGTATTTTATTGTAGGTTATGCAAACATTACTGTAGGTACTATGTATTCTAAATAGGTATTTACTTATTATAGCTAATTAGCTGCCCCCGCAGGCCCCGAAGTATATGCCAGCCAGTGTCAGGATAACTGCTTTTTCGACAGCGCGACTGATGTGAGTGGGGCTTTTAAGTAGGTTAATTAAATAAATAAAAATGTTAGTTTGTAAATTGTTTATTGATTGTTTGTGTTCAATAGCGGTTTGCAATATTCTCTTAGTACTTAGAAAGTTATTGGTTGCGCGGAAAACCATCGTATTTTATTTTATTCGAGGGTAAGCTTGCCAAAGCGTTTGTCCTTTCCAAAAAAACCTACCGTCCTATCGATACACCGGGGTGGTGGGGTGAGAGGGGAAAGAAGATAGTTCTAGAATGTCACGTGATCTTCGCAACCGAAGTAATATAAACGCGCGCGCGGCCCACGCGCGCTCTCTTCCATCGCATCACCAGACAGGAACGCAACTCTGGGGCCCCAGAGAATCCGCCAGAAGTCACACCGCAGCAACAAAGCGCTCAAGCCGCATCGAAGCAACACCCCGGTGAGTAACTTCCAGTTATAAGCCCGCTTGACATAATTGTATTTATCAGTTAATCCGCTCCAATTTCATTTTCTCCTAGCGTGATCAAGCGGGGTTCCTTCATAGACTTTGGCAAGCAATAGTTCGTTTAGGGAAGAGCGAGTGCATTGTCAGGAAAACCGCATGCTATAGTCGCCATTTTGTGGAGACGGAAGAAGCTATCCGCTTATACAGTCCATTTGGTGTAACATCTCGCGTAATAGGCTTAAGGCTCGACCGGGGAATTGGAATTCGGTAACCTTAGGCCCGTCGCTCAACCAGTTATCAACAATAAGAATTGTTTCACTGCAGGGACAAGCACAAACATCTATCAAAATAGTAACGTACCTAAACGGAATAGGACTAACAGCACAGACTTCCTTACAGAAGTCCAAAGAACACGTCTAGACAAGGTAAGTAATTAGAAGAAAACTACAATTTAGAGATCGATTGTAAATCAAATTCACAGTACAGACACAATTAGCGAAATATAAATAAAATTTTGATTTATTTTATGATAGTAGATAACGCTAGTTGAAAACTAAACACTGTATGGGAATGACATCTCTGAACTAGTCAGGTGGTGAGTTCAAACAAATAAGAGGCGCGATTGTAAAAAGAGATTCGTTACGAAACGTTTCTAGTCTAGGTGGCTTGGCCTGTTTATGCTATCGATAACGAAGGCTATAAAATATGTACAAATTAGAAAACTTATCTGTATTCATAACCCAACATCTGAGGTAGCTTGATGCGCTCCTTAAGTTTTATATAGTTCATACTATTCTGTAATAGGTAAATTAAATCTAAACCAAAATATATACTATAATACCATAGCAAAGCTACTATTTTATTTAGTAGTAGCTTATACAGTAGTATATTAAATTATATATAAAAATATGAGTATATCTAAGGTAAGGTTAAATATAAACAAATACTTGCCAAGTGCGAATCCGACTTCCGAGCTTCCGTACCATCTTACAAGATTTAAATATACGACATATTACTATCGATCAAAAAAAAGCCAAAAAATACACGTTTCTTTTTCTAGTAGGAAACCCTTTAATTTCAAATTTATTTTTACTATTTGCTGTTATAGCGGCAACAGAAATACACGTTCTGTGAAAATTACAACCATCTACCTATTACGGATCATGAGATACAGCCCGCTGACAGACAAACACACGGACAGCGGAGGCTTCGTAATAGGGCCCTGCTGGTTACCTTTCGGGTACGGAATCCTAAAAAGTACTTAGTTGTCCACTAACATCTGTATGGTTCTTTCTTCAAAGGACCATTAGCCACCTGCCTGATTCTCGTATGACATGACCAATGTAATACCTGGACTGACCTCTCTGAGTTTGTTTCGGCAGATCGGGTGCTTCTTCTCAGTTTCATGTTTTTGTTGTGTTAAAGTGTTTTTTTTAAAACAACTTACAAAACAAATTTTATTTATGAATGACTGCCTTTGTTAGATTCTTATGTAAAAGTAAAGTAAATTAAAGTAAAGTTATAGCCTATATACACGTCCCACTGCTCGGCACAGGTCTCCGCTCATTTCTGAGAGGGTTTTAGGGCAAGTAATTGTCCAACTCGCTGCCCCAATGCGTGTTGGCAAACTTCACATTCATTCACAGGTTTCCTCACGATGTTTTCCTTCACCGCCGAGCACGTGGTAAATCAGCACTTAAAATTGCAATTAACAATTTCATTGGCGCCGGCGGGGATCGAACCCGGTTTGCTCGCGTATTGTGAAATTTAAACCATCTGAGCTACTACGGCTCTTAATTCTTATGTACTTACATAAATTACAATAGGTATATTAGGATATGAGATTCCTATACGTAAGCACGATTATCGAAAATCTAAAAATTACCTATTCTAATTAAATTTATAGATAATTTTAAGATTTTCGACA